GCAACTATATTGGGCAGAGGGGTCATTGCAGATGACGATGGAGAAGGAGCAGAAAGAGAAGAATGATATGGACAGGGAACATGAAATTGTTGTGAAGCATAACATGGTCGGACAATGCTTCTAGTCTGGCATTTTCTGCCAACACGCATTTTGTAGGTTTGAAGTATGCAGCGAGCTCTTTTGTGAAGGGTTTTAATGTGAAGAGGGCATAGCGGTTAACGACACGTGATACTATGATCTATCCTTGCGGAGGGAGGTTGTGTTTCCGTTTTTAGTTCTCCGTTCCGGCCTTCCAGTAGGCCACGACCGTGTCTCGCGTTGCACTTTATAAGCGGGTGAAGAGATTGCACTCACGAAAGGGAAGTGCTTGGGGCGAAGTGTACAAGTACGTAATGGCATGCCTCGGGTCGTGGGTAGCTGAATCTTGACAAGAGCGAACGGTGTTCTGCGGAAGACGGGGTATATATCTGATGGTAAGTTTGCGGCGAGCGTTGTAGAGAATTGTTCGTAAGGGCCGCGGCGACGAACACGAACAAGTGGAATGTCTAGCTGTGCATTGGGAACAAGGACGTGAATATTTGCATTATGATCATGGAATGTAGCGAATGTCGTATCCGTTGGGAATTGCAGAGAATGAAAAAAGCCGAATGTGTCATTGGCTATACCACTAGCGGGGTCAACATTCTGGGTGAAAACAATTGGCATACCAGGGACGAGATCAAGAAAGGGCGCAAGGTTGTTCAATGCATTATCAGGCAAAGACATTATATAATCGATGTCATGCTTGTCTCACCCCCTTAAAACGTCACCGAATTCAGCCTGTATCCGTATCGGCCATATCGAGCAATGGCCAGGTGGCAGGCGATGTGACAAAGCACATGTGTAATGATGGATGAGATGTGTACGTGTCTCATTATCCGGTGTGACGAAAATAGGAAACCGTTTATCTTTTTCTGTGAGGTTGTCTGGTGAGAGGTCGTTCCCGATCTTGTCGATGATGCTTTATGATATCTATGAAGGTGTCGGTCCAAATGCCCATCCTCGCAGCTTTGCAATGTTTGCCCCATTCAGGATCGGACATGAAACGTATATTCTCATCAAGAACGACAAGAGTTGTAAACAACGGCCAGAGCGTGAAGGTTTCATGATCGGACGTCGTATGTGCAAGTTTTGGTGATGGGTCTTTGTATATCAATATGCCTTTAACAGGTGGCAACTGAAACCAATCACCCAGGGGAAGCATGTGTATCCCGCCGAAAGGAATGTCAAGTTTTCGAGCGTGGCGAAGAGCTAGGTCAAGGCGCACGTATTGTTCTTTACTCATCATATTGAATTCGTCTATCACAAGCAACGCTAATTTTGGCGTAAACATGGTAATACCTTTGAACTGTACGCGTCAATGCTCGAAAATGTGACTGGATTCGAAGTTGTGCATCCCTAACCAACTATGTAACGTAACACCTCCGATAGAAACGGCGGCTTTTCCTGTCATCGTTGTTTTAACAAGGCTTTTAGGGTGTCACCATGCATTTGCAAAAGCTTGGATGACGTCAATCACATGAAATTTGCCCGTACCGCCTTCCCCTGCTATGAATATCAGCAGCTACTGTGTTTTTATTGTGTCAGACATAATGGCCAAATCGGTAACACACGGTTGCTCGGCGGAAGAAGTGCATGACAACCACGTCTTCAGCAAAGCCTTTGCCACCAAAACGAAAACAACATGTTGTTTTTTGTTCAGCGAGAAGGTTGCACACATTTCAGATATTGTGGGAAAAAAACGCGACAATGGAGAAGGTGCAGACGGGGCTCGTGGGCTGTATACAAAGTTTGTTGGTTGGAGTGCATCTATCATAAGGTTCAACCGTGTCGGGAGAGGAATATCATTCCAGGCGTCGGCGGCGGCAGGCATTTCGGGCGGATGAAGTGGCGATAATGGCGGCGTTTTTTTTGTCCATGCAAAGGCAGCATCAAGATCCGACACAGTTTTAGCACATAAGGCGGTAGCAGGAGACGACCCAAGGACTTGCAGGTTTTTGTAAGCATCAATAGCTGAAGCGGCAGATGCATTCATCATTCGTTGAGGAGAGTTATCATTCGGCACAAGCGATGTCGCTGCAAAATCGATCACGGGTACATATATTTCTTCTCCATTCAAATCGTTTGCCTCCATTTCATCGGTCATGCCCGGTCATGCCGTCGGCAAACGCCGGAATGATCGAGACCTCTTCAGCGTCTGAATCGCATGCTGATTCAGATGCAGAATCGTTTTCATGTCGCGGGGTATTGTCTGTCATGCGTGCTTTGCATGCTTCCGGCGCACGCTCACGAGCAATGTGGCAATCTTGTATTTGCAAGTATATATTGCATGCAAACGATGGCATATTTTCGTAAAACGAAAAAAAAACTTTTGACCAAGTTTCTACATCATGCAAGAGATTAGATAAAGCACGGAATGGTTCGAATAGCAACAATGTTAACTTCGCAAGCCGGGTTATCGACAAGTCATCTGTACAGAGTCTGTGATCATGAATACGCATGGAATGGTGAATCACTGGTATGCACGGCTGCATATGTCTACCCAATGATTTATGCAATCGGAGCGGATGACCTTCTAGAAGTAAGTTGTCTTTGTTGAGTGCATGGCAGAAGTCGGAAGGATAATAGTCCATAGTAAAATCATACAAAAAAACCGCAGTGAGATGGAGAGCTCTGAACATATAGTCGTTAAGTGCGCGTGTGGGGACAAAACTTTTATGAGCCCGTTCTAGCGACCACAACGTGGCGTCATAGTTGCGGAGCTGGTGGAGCATATGGTATAGGGGAAGGACTCTATATGTGTGACTAGTGTAAGCGCATGATTGACGGAGGATATACAACGCACACAAGGGGCCGGTCATTTCTTGCTTGTTGGTGAAACTGAAGAGTTGTGATGACAGTCATCACCTCGTTATTGTTTCAGCGGAGCGAAGATCAGATTCTGTCATCATAGCTTCACGTCGTCAGCGTGCTTCGAATGCAGCCAACCGAAGCGCAATCGTACAATTGACATTGTGTTTATATTTTGTTGTATATTTGCAAGAGTATTGCATTCGCTCAGCTGCTTCTGCACCACCAAAAAGTGGTTGAATATCATGGTTGCATTTATATGTCGAGAGAATAACATCATTATAGGCATTAACATATTTATTGTCGAGCGTGCGTCGAAGTGCAACTCCAGTGGCAAGGACGGCTGTACGTTCACGATGTTCTTTGGGAAAGCCATAGCGACAGTCGTCCTAAGATCGGGTCATGCGGGATGTTTTGAAACAGGTTTGGTGTGTGCCCAATGGTGGGTCTGAACAAGATAGGTAAGCGGGAGCAAAGTTTCCTGCAATGAAAGCAATCTCCATGGCATAGCCAACAACTTCTCGCTGGTTGCATGAACGTGGAACGGATCTTGAAGGAGGTGGACATGTGTGCCTCGACATTCGTTCCATCGTCCATGGTCATTATAACCCATAAATGCATGATTGGTAGTCATTG